CAATAACATTTATAATAAATAAATAAATAAATAAATAAAAATAAAAAAATAAAAAAAAAAAAATAAAAAATAAAAGAAAATACCTGAAGCTTCTTTAAGGCCTTGGCCCGGGTAGTGTATTGAGCGGCTTCGCCTTTCTGAAACTTTTTGAGTTTTTTTCCCATTTTAAACAAAATAAATAAAAAAAATAAAAAAAATAAATAAAATAAATAAAATAAATAAATAAATAAAGATAAAATAGAGAAAGAAGCAGAAAAAAAGAAAAAAAAAAACAGAAAAAGAAAGAAAACAGAAGAAGAGGCTGTGTGGGGTAGCCCCAGCAGCAACCCTTCTGCTGCCTTCTTTTGTTTTTTATAAATAAAAAAAATAAATTAATTTATTTTTTAATTTATTTTTTTATTTATCTTTACTTTTCAATACAAACAAAACAAAAAAAAGAAAACAAAAACAACAAACACAGAACGCCGTGCATGCATGCATAGATAGGGGGCCCACGGGGCTGGCATTTGCGTGTAGCTGTTTGTTTAATAGAAAATAAAAATAAAATAAAAAAATAAATAAAAATAAATAAAATTAAATAAATAAATAAAATAGTTAAATAATAAATAAATAAAAAGAAAAAAATACACAAAATAAACAACGGGTTTGGTTTTTCAGTGTTTCTGTTTTGTTATGCTCGGTTTCTTCTTCTCTGTATATCTATACACAACATTCGTGTATATATAAATATATATATTTATACAAATTGTAATATATTTATGTATATAAATGAGCATATATATATATATATATATACATATAGAGAGAGAGAGAGGGAGAGAGAGTCTGCTGATATCGATACATATATGTATATATATATATATATATATATATATATATATATATATATATATATATATATATATATGTATATATAACTGCTCTATCATATACATATATAAAATAAACCAGTTATATTCAACCAGGGGTACTAGAACCAAGTGACCCTAAGAAACCTAAAAACCAAACAAATAAATAAATAAACAAACAAACAAACAAAATAAATAAAGAAAGAAATCAATGTAGTTAGAGGCCGTAGCTCCCCGGGGCTGGCAACCAACAGCGGGACCCAGCGTGGGGTCCGCTCTGCGCAGAGCAGAGACACCGGGGAGCAACGCGTGGGGGAGTGCAGTATATTTTTCTAGACCCGAGCAGCAGCAGCAAGAAAAAATCCCAGCTAGATAACTTCTGTTGGGTGTACAGCCCCAGGTGCTGCACCCGCATGCAGCTACTTCGTTCGCTCTGGCCGCCTGCCGCCGGGGGCTCGACGCTGCGCCGTTGCCTGGGGCTGCGCCAGAGGGCGCTGACGAAATTTAATTTTTTTTCTTTTTTTTTTTGGTAATTATGCGTTGGGGGGACCCGTGGATACAACCAGTGAATAGCTGAGCCGCTCCTGCTGCTGCTATCGGGCTCGAAGAGGGAATATAATACACGTGTTTGCTGAACCTATCCACAACGAGATAGATGCTAGCATCGCCTCTGACGGGGGGAGGAGCCCACTATGAAATCCATGGAGATCTCCGCGCAGACCCTTTCGGGAATTAGAAGGGTTTGCAGGAGTCTTGGTGTGAGGATGCTCCGCGGCTGTTGCTGCTGGCGCCCCGGAGAAGAGAGAACGACTGAGGGGAGAATCCTAGGCCACCAAAGGACCAGCCCCAAGGCGCTCCACCGTTGCACTGACCCCACCGCAATCTGCTAAAGCATGCGCATGCACTTTCTGCGAAAATATCTCGCGGAGAGGGGCTGGAACGTAGAATCTACGAACACCACCCTTCGTGGGGTACCACAAGAGGTCGCCGTCGATGCAGTACTGCTTCGCCCGTCGCCCATTGGTGAGCTTAGCTAGGACCGCAGCCGCGTGAGTATCTAAGGAATAAGAAGAACTCAATTCTGAGAGAAAGTAAGAATCATCACAGACAAGCGGGGTTGCAAAACATTGTGCCTGACCTGTACAGCGTCTGGGTACTCTGCGCCAGCGGATGAGGCCCTTGATATACTTGACGGTGAAAGCAAGCTGCGTGGGGCGGGAGAGCCGAGTCTAGAAAACTCGTTGCCAGGTGTTACCTGGATCGAATCCCCCAGGACTGTTGTCTTTACCAGACCATCACGACGGCGTGCATGCATACCTCCATCATTCTCTTCAGTGCCTCTGCACTGCGGGGGGGCCTCATCGCTCCGTTTTCCTTTGGAGACAGTCTCCACACCTCAGACCCTAGAAGATGCAAAAACCATTGGGGGCGCTGAGAGCTGCACACTCTCATCACTTCCTGGCGGAAAGACTTCTCTGGCATCACCAGAGAAACACATCTGTGTCTTTCACTGGGTCACCGACTGCATGCGCAGGGCTCTGTCGTGGCGAAGGGGGCAATGCAGAAGCCCCTCTTCATAAGGATATCCCCAGTTTTGAAACTAGGAGAGCTTCGCATGCCCATAGTTTGCCGAATATTGTATCCTGTCTGCCGTCTGCGGAGCGAAGCTTCAGATATTGCGCCGATGAGTACACGGGTAGGCTGCACCTCCTTGCTGCAGTTTCCAGTAGTAGGTCCACTTCGCTAGTAATTCGTTATATTTACGTGTACTTGTGCAACCACTGAGTTGACTCGATGTGGGTCTGTGGGTGCGGGCGTCATCGCATGCAGCCCCTTCACTGCGCCGCACGCTGCTTGGGGCCCCGGGCGTTTCGCTGCTTTCTCTGTTTGTTTGTTCCCTTGGTGCTCTGTTCGAAATTTGGTTTCAGGTTTTCCCTAAGCTTCTTCGTAATCCAGAAGCTTTGAGACACGTGACCCTGTTTATTACAAAAGAAGCAAGTGCAACGTTCGGCATCACCTTCTTGCTCTCTGTGTGTTGAGTTCTCTGACTGCTTTCGGTGACTGCTGCTAGCCCCCTCTTTTGCTGGCTTGGTGTTCACAGCCCCAGTATCCAAAGGCTCCAGATCAGGATCATCCCCAGACGCACTTTCTTCTTTTTCAGCTGAGGCTGTGAACGCGGCGTTTTTTCTTTCCATTTGGCGGAGGCACTCCATCATGCAGCTAGCTCCACTGTCTTGCCCCGCATCTCCCTGTCCGTGGCCCAGGCGTTTGCTGCTCGCCTCACTGCGCGGGCCAGCTCCGCTACAAAAAAAAAATTATAGAGGAGCTCTGGGTCCAGCGTAGGAGTTCGGTTCACCAGGGATTGGTATTTCTCAGTGTGGCGCTCTATCCACAGCTCCCCTCGCTCAAGTCTTTTCAGTTCCGCCGTGGCCTGCTCCCTTGCAGACCTCGCAGTGCTTGATGCTACGGGTGTGGGGATTAGACTCTGTGCTTGCATCTGCCCGGTGAACTCTGCAGCGATACCAACTATAACACTTTATCTAGGAGAGAGGCGAGCGGCAATGTAGATAAAGACTTGAAGTAAGAGTTCTCCAAAAACAGCTGACACCCTTCCCCTCTGCTCAGGCCTCCTGGGCACTGAGCTCAGGGTCCTGCTGCTGTCGCGGCGAGGAAGCAGCAAGAAACGGGGTTGCAGCGCACCCCGCTGCTGCTGGTAGTGCAAGCCAGCCCCACGCATGCATCCAAGGGAGCTTCAACGAAACTCCCTGTGCTGCATGCGTTGCCTCTGAATATACTTATAGAATTTTTGCATGCGCTTGCATGCAACCTATCGAGGCCATCACGTGAAGGTTCCTGGGCTAAGTGTAGGTAGACCATGCTGCAGCAGCAGGAGAAACAGCAGCAGCAGCAGCAGAAGCGACAGCAACAGCAGCAGCAGCAGCAGCAGATAAAGCCCAGACCCTAAACAACAACAAAAAAAACAGCAGCAGCAACAACAACAACAGCAGCAACAGCAACAAAACAGAAAAACCAACAAAAATGAAAACTGCAACAAAAACAAAAACAACAGCAACCAGTGCTATACAGTCAGCTCATCAAATCAAAGAGAGCAGATAATATATAGTAAATTTTTAAATATATATATATATATATATTATATAAATATAATAAATAAAATATTTACTTCGCTTTGGTTGTATAAACAAATACATGTGCTTGCTGTATACCGTGCTAGCTGCATATACACCTGAAACTGCTGTCGCAGCGATCTGAAATATAAACAACAAATATAATTTATTTAATTTATTTAATTGTTTATTTAATTTAATTTGTTAAATTAAAACAGAAAATGCATTTATTTTGCTGAAAATAAAAAACAAAATAAATGAATGGCTGGGGCTCCGATCGGCAAGCCCTAACAAACCCTAAACCCTAAACCCTAAACCCTAAACCCTTGTTATTGTTGTAATATTAGTTTTATATTATTTATTTAATATAAAAATGCATTACTTTACTTCTTTTTAATTGATTAAACACACTAAAAAAAACAAACATATACTGAACTGTTGGGGTGTATAGGCAGCTGCTACCGAGCTTCGGTGTCTACACACATATACATTTCTTTTTTTGTTTATTTCTTTTTGTATTTTAAATTTATTTTTTATTTATAAAAATACAATTAAACCCTTTTTAAACCCACAGCACCCCACTGGCTGCTCCGACTCCCCCCAGTACTGTCGTCGCTGCTGCTGCCGCTGCTGCTGCTGCTGCTGCTGCTGCTGCTGCTGCTGCTGCTGCTGCTGCTGCTGCTNGCTGCTGCTGCCGCTGCTGCTGCTGCTGCTGCTGCTGCTGCTGCTGCTGCTGCTGCTGCTGCTGCTGCTGAAGCACAATGGCAGGCCAAGCAGATAAAAAGAGAGCCAAAGAGGCCGCAGAGTTCGACGCCTTCTACAAAAAATGCACCATCATCGCCGTGGTAAACCCTAAACCCTAAACCCTAAACCCTAAACCCTAAACCCTAGCTAAACCCTAAACCCTAACTAAACCCTCTATAAACCCCTAATAAGCCCTAAACCCTCAAGCCGACCTAAACCCTCAGCTGTAACTCCATTCGCCCTGACCAAAC